TTAATAAAGAATATTTGTATATACATTCCAATACTAATATATCAATATACAATATATTTCTTTTGATTTTTTAGTAGGATAAAAAATCAAAAGAAATTGATATTAAAATATTATTCTTAAGCATGGCATTATTTAAAACATAACTTATTTCAAAAAGATGTGCATATATTTCTAAATATATAAACACTGAATTACATAGTAGCTTAAACCTATACAAATTTGAGACTGTAGATATTCTTTTTTTATTTTGAGTGTAGGTCTTCTAACAAAAATAAGTAATTACACACACAAAAATATATTCTGACTAAGATTTTTCTTCTGAGAGTTTTTAATCCACAACAATTTAATTTCAAATGTGTTTGCTATTAAGATTAATAACAAAACTCAGAAGTTTATCCCCATGCATCGATTCAGTGGTTTGCTCACTGAAAACTTCGAGCCCAGTTTCACTTTTTTCAGCAAATTCCTTAACGTGATGAAAAATTTTATGTGTTTTGGGGGTAACTAAAATTCCAAGAGCTCGGTATGAATGCTTGAATTCTGAAATATTTTGATAGAATCCTGCCTCCAAGATCTTTCCAAAAAACTGCTTTTTTAACATTATGAAGCTTTTTGAATCAATCAACAAAAAACATTGACTCTGAAAAATGGCTCTGAAAAATGTCAACATTCTTCAACAGTTTGTTGCATTCATTTCTATTGAACTGCCCCCCCCCCTCCTCCTCATGTATGTATTTAAAGGTGCAAGGGATTCTGTCATTTTTGTGCTTGATCCCATATTTCAAGGAGTTGCTTGAAAATATGGTTGAAGATTCCTAGAAAAAGACAGAGTTCCATTGGAGGAATTACATCAAGAATAACCTCAGATTGCGTCTGGAGGTTAATTAATATAATGGACAACATTGAAGTAGTTCTTAGCAGATTGAAATTTTGCACCTGAAGAGAGAAGTCATATAAAGAGAGGAGGTATAGCTGTTGCATAAAGAACTAAATGTTCTTGATTAGCCAGAGTTTTAAAAGATTTTCATACGTTTCAGGAATACCTTCTGCAGCAAAAATCAGCTGTTTTTTTACACCACCATCCTGGCTAGAAGAACTTTACTTGTAATATGTCAATTTTGCTAAGGCGATTTTTTAAGAATGAACCATCTCCATCAATTCCAAGTCCAAGTTTAACTAAATGATGTGATTTAAGTGAGAAAATATGGTTGATTAAGGTTGATTCAAGTTCTTGCAGTGAACAACTTTTTGAACTTGGTTTTTAATTTCTTTTTCAAGAATAGCAACATTTGACATCATGAAAAAATCTGCTAATTTTTTCCAGAGGTTGTCAAGTTTTGACTTCATGTTTTCTTTTTTTCTTTTGAGTTGTTTAAAGCTAATGCAAGCCTTTTCACACCAGCATTGGAAAGATTTGTTATGTTTTGAACTCGGACCAATGTTTCTGCAATAAATAACTGCTACTTGAGAGTGAGAGTCATCTTTTTTAGAGCTCAAATCATTGTTTAATTTGTTCAGCACACTTAGCTCAAGTTAGCAGATTTTCTTTGAGCTTTGATTTGGCCACCCTACAAATTATACACCAGAATATCTTAGAGATGACTTAATGATAATTAAATTGAAATTGTACGAGTCTGGTATCTGTCCAATTATACTAACAGTATTAAGTCATTGTAGTTCGCTTCTACATAATTGGCAGATTTTCTTTGAGCTTTGATTTGGCAACCCTACAAATTATACACGTAACAGTATTAAGTCATTGTAGTTCGCTTCTACATAATTGGAAACGCAAGTTGGAATTTTCTCATCATTGAAATTAATATTACACTAAAAAATATTCTTTCAATCAAAGAATCAATTAATATGTGATCATTTTTTTGAAACACAAAAAACAAAAAGATTTTCTACAATCACCATTAGTTTTTGCTGAATTAGGTATTTTTTGACAAATTATGTTACAAATTAATTTTTAATTAATTTGTAACATAATTTGACAAATTAATTTTTAACGGAAATGCCAATTTACTTGTTTACATTATTTCAGCCGCAAAAATTTGGTCCCAACATATTTCAATTTTATCGCCTTTAAATTTGAATTTATATGAAGCTAAACAATAGGTTAATATAATGTTGTTTTTGAGATATATGCAACATTTAAGACAAAACAAAAAGTTTTTTTTTATTAACTTTTAGTAGTGGAAATGCATTTTGAAAATTAAGTTTCTAAGTGTAAATCTGCGGGTTTTAAAATAAAAATTAAAAGATTTTAATTTTGTTTTAAAGCGATCATCATAACCTATAGAATCACCCCTCCAAGGGTTTTTTTAGGGTCATTTCTGAAGAGATTAGGACCCCTTTTTGGACAACTGTGAAGAAATGTAAAATAGTTTTGCAATATTTTTATTTCAAGAAAAGAAAATGCTTACTGAACTACTTGATTACTGCTTGATTAGGTAAAGATGTTAATAATATAAGGTTCTCCATAATAGAGAAAAATTTGCGAAACTAACTTTATTGTGTTTTTTTTATTGTTATAAGTAATTTTTGGAAATTAAAAATCCTGTAGATTTTAAAAATATTTTCTGACTCTAATTTCCCTTATTCTGAGAGTAGTTATTTTAATTTAAAATATTTGATTTCGAAAAGGAGCTATTAATTCAGTAATAATAAAAAGCAAAATTTGGAGCAGGTTAAGCATATGTTAGGTGATTTGAATATATTGAAACTACGCATCACATGATAAAAAATCTAATGGATAAAAATAGGGAATTAGAATAGTAATGCAATGCTCAACAAAAGTTGTTGGGCGTTACAAGTAAGATGCACAGGCACTTTTTTTTATTATAGATATAAGCATCACCAGCCTGATAAATACATTTAACAAGCTGATGATGCTGATATTTATAATCCAGCAAAATATTTTAGGTTTTATTAAAATGCAAAGAAATAAGCTACATGAACAAAAAAAATTTATAACACGGAATGACAGATTCAATGCGACTTTGTTGAATGACAAGCTAAGCAAGAATGAGTTTTGATCTATTAAATTAGAGACTATAACTTGTTTAAGCAGAAACCATGATAGTGTTTGTAGAAAAAAGAGAGAGATGTGCCTTATAACAATGGGAGAGTAGCAGATAAAGCAGGTTTAGCTACATTTACAATGTGCTGTTGGACTTTATCTGTGAGTGAGAAGGTTGTAATTTGTCCATATAGGAATGTCAAAAATATTGTGATAGTTATTTGCAGTAAAAAACTGAGTTTTAGCTGGAGTTAAAATCCACAAGCCATTTGCATGCCCCATGCTGTTCAGATCAAATCAGCTGCTTGTTTTAAGCAATCAAAAAGTAAAGATTTTTTGTCAAGATAAGTTGAGTTGTTAGCAAAGCCACTTTAAATGTAAAACTGTCAGAAAGATTGTTATTGTAGATAAGAAACAATACAGGAACAAAGATAAAACCTTGGAGTACTCCTAAAGTTACTTGAAAAGAAGAAGAGTTTGAGAAAATCACATTAATACTGTGGTTAAAAAAAAGATTTAATAATCTTAAAACTTTTATATCGAAAGCTAATATTTAAAACTTTTATATCGAAATAATAGATAGAAAAATAGAATTGTAGGATAGTTGTAGAGGTCAGAGTATTTTCTAGAGTTTTTAAATACTGTCTTTTTTTTTCCATTCATTTATATATATTGATATTGCGATGTGTTATTGAGATGTTAAATATTTAATATAGCAATGTGTTGATTGGAATGTATATAGTGGCCAAACTTCTAAGATGGTATTAAAAGTTCAGTCAAACTAGCCCGTAAATAGATTAAAAATACATCACAACAAAAACGATTACAAAATTATAAATACCCATATAGTTGTTTCATTTAGAATAAGTATTTGTTGAAGTCAAAAGAGTTTATATATTTTTTGCATACACAGCTTTCTAGGTCATGTTATTTCATATGTCGGCTTGTCCTAATCCCAGTCTACTACACCCAGGGTAAGCAGCTCTGTTTCTGACCCCGGTTGTAGTTGACTGGGATTCTTTTTGTGGTTTTCTTTGTGATGGTCCTTGGGCCGATGTTTGATAGTCTTTGATCAACAAATTTCTTTGTCTTTCATCAACAAATTTCTCACATCTTGAGTCAAATAACTTACTGTCAGACAGTCAATACGGTTTTTGATTCTCTCACTCTATAGCTGACTTGCTAACTGCTGTGACTGAAAGATTTTATCCTGCATTAGATGGCATATCTGTAGCTTTTGACATTAGAGTTTGGCATGCTGATCTTCTCTATAAGCTTGCTTCATATGGTTTATTTGGGAAAGTTTTTGAGATTATCAAATTGTTTCTTTCTAACCACTTTATTAAATTTTTCCTCAAAGACCAACACTCTTCTTCATTTCCAGTAGCTTCTGGTGTACCTGAAGGTTCTATCCTTGGTCCTATTTTGTTTATCTACATTAATGATCTTTCTGACAACCTTACATCTAAATTAGCTCTTTTTGCTGAAACTTTATACTCGTGACTTGACAAAAAGTCTTCTCTTTTCGATTACTTAGAACAGGCAGCTGATCTTGAGTCTGATCTTACTTTTGTAACAGATTGGGACTCCCAGTGGCTTGTAAATATTATCTCCAACAAAACTCAGTTATTTACTGCAAACAATTATTGTAATACTGCCGACATTCCTATTATTATATATGGCAACCCTCTCACCGAGTCCTCTTCTTTATGTCTTCTTGGATTATCGTTTACTACTGACCTTTCATGGGAACCATATGTAGAATCGATTGTTAAATTAACATTCTCTATGGTTGCTTCTCTTTATCATTCTCACCATTTTTTTACCCCTGATTCTATTTTCTACCTTGACAAATCTCTTATTCATCCCTGTATGAAATACTGTTGACATATTTGGGCTGGTTTTTCTAATGGTGCTCTTTCTTTTTATTAGACAATTTCAACTGATTTAATCAATTTGATTTGGTGTGGCAGCGAGAATGGAGAACAATATTGAAAACTCTGAGTCTCAAGTCTTAATCTAGAGCTCTGGGTTTACACTGTTTTAAATTGGTATCAGTTTGGCATAAAATTTCTTTAAAAAGAAAGTTCATTCTACAAAAGATAAATAACAAAATACTTCATAAAATAAAGTATTTCATTATAAAGCATTTTTGTTAGGTAAAGATGACTATTCTTTTTATTTATTCGTTTGATTATGTCAGTGTCCCAAACAATGAGCAGAATACTGCCCTTATAAGAAAGAACACAATATCAGTAAAATATTCATCTTGCACAATTTATAATATACTTAATGTTCATATGTCAACCATATGAAACCATACAAGTTTTTTATTTAGGTTGTATTTATTAATAAGTTTTATTATTATTTTACAAATTAAATAGATGGATTACAGTGTTTTTTTTCAGGGTACAATAGCAACAATCTTTTATGTATTCCCAAATGTTTTCAATTTTTAAATTCTAAACTTGGATTAATTTCTAAAAATTAAAGTTAAAACTTTTTACTGCTTTAAATACTTTTATTTGTTTTTAAACAAAGCAATCAATAAGTGAACTTATTGATTTTTATTAATAATAAACTTTATACTTCTTAACTTTTCCTTAAAATTTATTTTTCCTTAAAATTTTTTTTAATGAAAATTTTTTTAATGAAACTAATTAATTCTATTATAATTTGCATAAATATTTAATAATTTTTTTTTATCATAGTTGGAAAAACTTCTTTGATCACAAGATTTATGTATGATAGTTTTGATAATACCTATCAAGTAAGTTTTTTTTATTTATCTTACTCTGTGCATAGCACAACAAATATGAGACTTTTTTTATTTATCTTACTCCGTGCATAGCACATCAAATATGAGACTTTAGCACAAAATCAGAAGATTGATAATCTTTGTTTAGCTGGATTACCAATATTTGGTTATTGATAAATATTTTATAACTTTTGAAAAAATTGCAATAAAAATTTAAGGTAAAATAAAAATATAGTAGATATGAATGAAACAATAAACAATTTAGAATACCAATAATAGATAATTCTCTTCTAAAGTTGTTTCTAGTTATTGATGCTTAGTGTATTCAGCGCTCGAAATAGCGGCCAATCAACGATCAAAGAATGTCTACTTTTGGAAAAATTGACATTTTGTTCGCCTAAAATTAAATCTGGCCAATCAAATTTGATCAGCAGAAGTCGCTTGTCAAACTTTTGTAATAATTAATACAAAATTATTTTAAATACAGAAAGTTAAAATTTAATTAGTATCACAATTATTTTGAAATAAATTATATTTTAAGTAAAATAATGTAGGTAAAAATGGCAAAACAAACAACTTATTTAAATTCTGAATAAAACTTTTATTATAATTCTAAAAGTTTTATTATAATTCTAAACAAAATGAAAATGGCGAAACAAACCATTTGTTTATTTTCTATAATAAAATAAAGTCAAAACGACACATCGAAAGTTAATTTATATTTTAAATAAAATAATTAGGATAAAAACGGAAAAACAAACATATTATAAATAAAATATATATAAAAAAACTGGCAAAGTTTTATTTTTATTCAAAATAAAATAATTAGAATAAAAACGGCAAAACAAACAATTTATTTAAATTCTAAATAAAATAATTGAAATAAAAATGACATTAGATTTATTTTAATTCTAAATAAATTAACTAAAATAAAAACAGCAAAAGTTCTAAATAAATTCTAAATAAAACATTTGCTTAAATTCTGAACAAAATAACTAAAATAGGTATTGCAAAACTAATGTTAATTTAAATTCCAAACGAAATAATTAAAATAAAAACGGTAATGTTTTATTTATATTCAAATTAAAACAATAAAAAAGAAATACGGCAAAACACACGATATATATAAACTCTAAATAGAATAATTAAAATAAAAATGTATCATATTTATATCATAAAATGTATCATATTTACTCCAAATAATCCAAAAAGAAAAACAACAAAACCAATGGTATACTTAAATTCTAAATAAAATTAATAAATTCAAAATGGCAAAACAAACGATTTACTTAAATTTTAAAGAGAATAAATAAAATTATAGTTAGTTAAAAGTTATAAAATTATAATGGCAAAACAAAAATCATGTGAGGTAGGATCAAAAAAATGCACTGTAACTTTTAGTAAAATTTAACAAAAAATTGATCGTCTAAAAAATTATTTGATCGTCTGGTTTTTAATTATTTTATTTCAGCCGATAAATGATCGGCAACCTTCGAATAATTATTTCGAGCGCTGAAATGATAAAAAAAAAGTACAATTAATAAATAAAATCAACAAAAATGCAACTTGTGCTTGCAAAATTTTCGAAATAAAAAATTTTCAGCATATTCATCTTATTCATCATCTTCAAATATGTCATATTTTAATTTGATTTGATCTCTTTCTCTATTAATCCACTGATTTAGTTTTTCAATACACTCTTTAAAAGAATCTTCCTTTTTGACAGGTATTATTTTACTACCGTATTTTAAAATCCATTGTGAAAACTCTCCTTACCCATCATGTACTCTCAATTTTCAGTGAACATTTTATAAATGCTTCTACAACTTCAGCCCTCGCTGCCAAAAAAATGTTTTCCTACCAAATTAAATGTTTTTGCAAACATATATAATGGAAAGATGTTGTAAACAAACTATAAATTGCATTTAAGACATGTTTGAATGAATTTCCAGTTCATACGGCTGTAGCAGATTAAACATTTATACTGCTGGTTTCAGTTATCAAATAATTATATTTAAACATTTTCATAATAAAGGCTGGTTGATCCATAAAAACCAATCAGGAATGTTGATTATATAGATACTACATAGTCCACGGGTTACCTGCCCAATACACAGTTATTAAACTGAATGCTACTACATTACCTGCTATATAGGTACTACATGGTTACCACATAGCCCGTGGCCTGCAACATAGCTATTTTATATAAGATTCTTAAGTTTAGATAACCTTTATAATATTCAATATTATAAAAGATTCTTAAGTTTAGATAACTTTTATTCAATATTTTAAATAAATTTAATTAAAATGTATCAAGCTTTAGGAACCTTGTGATATAAAATCAAAAGTTGTAAAATAAAAAAAAAACAATTTATGCAATTAAAATAATGATTTCAAACTAAATATATTACCTAATTTTTGCGATATCAAATCAAAAATTTAAAACAATTGAATTTGACATTTAACTAATGTTATAACTAAGCACATTAAACTAAACAGTAACTAATTACAATTAAAACTAAACAGTAACTAATTACATTTTAAATTACAGTATTAATATTAAGACAAAGTTTTGAAATGTAATAACTGAAGAATTAACACTAAACCAATAACTAATTTGTTTTACTTTTAAACATGATTCAAACATGATTGGTTTATTTTTAAACATGACTGACTCAAATATTGTTGGCTTTAGGCAGAAAGGTCACAAAAATTAAAAAAAAAAACTGCCAGAATACTATAATAACTGCCAAATATTTTCCATTTCATAAATGGGTGAAATTTATGTTTAATAAATGAATCTTTTGTTATTTCTCTGTTTAAAAGCTGCATGGAAATGATTAGTTTTATGATTTCTTAAGGGATGACATTAATAATAGTGTTCTTCATAATTTTATGATTTTCTAATGGAGATAGCCACAAATTAACCTAGCTTGATAGGTGACAAAGTAATACATTGTAGTATTAATAGTGTTGCTTCATAAAGTAAGGTAATACATTGTATTATTAATGGTATTGCTTCATAAATTTTGTATAATTTTTGTTGTTGTACTTTCTGGCGTGAGTTGAGGCATCATTTTTGTGTGTGTTTTTTAAATATAAACTTTACCAATAAGCTCTCCTCCTAATATTTAATGGTTTAGGGAATATAATTATTAAATTTTGTTGTAACAATATTAAAGTTAATTTATAATTGTAGATGAGTTTAAATATTGTTTGAAAAAGATAGGATAGAAATAGGAAGGATAAAAACCAATTTCAGTATCTCACACCTACAAAAGTAGGTGTGAGATACTGAAATTGTTACAAAAGTTGCTTTTCAAAAGAAAAGCAATTTTTGTAATTGTTTTGAAATTGTTACTGAAGTAGTTACACAAGTTGCTTTTTTTATCCCAATGAAATGCAGCGGAGAAAGTTTTCAAGTTGTTTGAACTCCTGAATGTTTTGTCTTTTATCTAAATATTACTTTTCTTTGCAACTAAAACAAGTCTTTGATTTTCTAGAACTTAATAAAACTCTTTAAAGTAGTTTTTAAAAATGTAGAATTTACTCTTTTTAATTATTGGATTTTTTTGACTGAATTGTGTTTTTATTTTTACTTCATAGAATTTCTCATAAAAATATTGATCAGCCATTTCCTGATCTTCATCATGCCTTCGATGTTTTGAATTCTACAGCAGATTATTTTGCAACATAACCCAAATTATCTAAAACAAAGTTGATATATCTGCAGGAAAAAGTCTCTTGTTGCTAGTTAGAACAAATGCAATTATAATTGAATAAGCTGCTGCCTAAAGTATTGTTGAAATACAGCCTGATACACCAACAGTAACAGTCATTAACTTCAAAATTTTGTAATGAGTTATAAATAAAAAGTAGTTAGGTAAACTAATCCATGAATAACAGCTCATTATGAAATTGAATAAAACCACTTAACAAAGGCCACTACAGTCAAGGAGGCTACTTTAGTTGTAGTTACAACCCTCTCTCAACTCTATAACTCTGAAACACGAACCTTGACAAACAAGGCCGCTGCGCGGAGAAACAAGTTAATTATAATAAAAATGATTATATTATCAATAAAAAAAATACATATATATTTGTTGAGGTAATAATAATTTAATACTTTAACAATTTCTTTTTGTATCTTTGTTCACATAACTTTTTTACATGTGAGTTTATCGTTTTCAAAAGCCAAAGAATTTGATGTTTTACTTTATGTAAACGAAGGCTTTAAAATCATTTTTAAATACTTAAACGTTTTTTTTATGGTGAAGAAATTTCAGTTGCTAGTTGTGATCCAATGGTGAATGAGAGTAGTGGTTGTGTAACATATAGTTTAAAAGGGTAATTGTACAGTTATGGTGAAGAAACTACCTTCAAAAGGGTAATTGTACAGTTATGGGGCCCTAAATAATTTTATTTTTTCGCTTGTTGCTCTCTTTTCAATGGAGACTTTTTAAACATATTTATCAAAATTGATATAATTAGAAATAAAAAATATAATTTTTACCCGTTTGCTAAAAAATAAAATTTTTGATTTTATTTTTGTAAAATAAATGGCTTCTCAATAATCTATAATGGTTCAATAATAAGTTCAATGAACAACATAATTCCACAAATAATAAAAAAAAAATTTATATTTATAATGGTTCAACAATAAGTTCAATGAACAACATAACTCCACAAATAATAAAAAAAAAATTTATATTTATAATGGTTCAATAATAAGTTCAATGAACAACATAATTCCACAAATAATAAAAAAAAAAATTTTAATTCTCTAACTCTGAAACCTTGATATACTAAAGAACATCTCTGAAAATCTTAATTAATAAAAATAGGGAAAGTTAAACAACCAAGTTAATCAACCAAGTTAAACAAACAATTCAAAGATGCTGCACAACAGAATTGAAAATAATTTTTTTTTTTTAACAGAAATAAGAACAATAAAGTAATGAAAAATAAATTGACCAAACTAAGAAATAGCCAAAGAGCATAAACAAAGATATTTATGCTCTTTGGCTGTTTGGCAATAATTTTCTATTTGATAGCTCCTATTTTTAGAAAGTATTACTTGCAGAGTAATTTTTTCAGGATTTTTTCTATTCCACGAAACACATTCAAGTATTGAAAGTATAAAAAAAGTATATTATTAATAAAGTATTAAATAAAAAATATTGTTCATTGAACTTATTATTCAATCAGTAATAAGTTCAATGAACAATAATTCCATAAATTGTTGATTTCAAATTTCTATTTTTTGCGTAATCACCACAGGTAATTTTTGTAAAGTATAAATTATTTTTGTAAAGCATAACTTGTTTACTTTTGTAAAGCTTCATATCGTAACTTTGTTTAACAAGGATCATGTTTCAGATTGTGTTTCTTTTTTTTTCTTTTTTATGCTTTTTAAAGTATTTGATTCATTTCACATTTTACAACCTTGACCACAATTCTAAATATATAACATTAGGTTCTAATGGAGCATTAGAGTGCCACTTGATTTTTTTATCAACTGTAAAGTTAGTAATTTTATTCTTATTTAATGTTGTTTTTTTAGTTTATGATTTAGATTATGGCTATAAAATTTGTTTAATTTTTTGTCATAACATCAAATGGTAATCCTCATCTGTTTACTATAATGATAAAAAGTATTGAGAACTTTGTGTTCTAATTATATTAATAATCCTTTACAAAGTAAAAAATGGTAAAATGAGTTATTTGTATAAAAACACTTTTTACAACATCTTAGATCATATAAAAATATTGCCACAATTAGTTCAAATTTGTATTCAAAATTTTGTGGTCAAAAATGTACTTTATATGCATTTTTTTATTAAAATGTGTAGTCCCTTTTTTGTAGTCCCCTCTCTGTTCACATTTGAAAAAAAAAAACTTTTAAAAACTCTATTTTTGCAATAATTAAAATATTATATATTATTAAATATTATTTTAAGGCTACTATTGGAATAGACTTCTTGTCAAAAACTATGTATTTAGAAGATAGAACAGTAAGTATTTTAAAAGTAATATTTTGTAAACATTGTTTAATTATTTCATGACATTTTATTTTTTTGTTCTTTTTGTTTTGCGACATTTATTTTGTTCCTTGAAAGAAATAATTAAAGTGTTTCACTTGTTAATTATAATATAGAATATTTTTTATTTTATATACTTTTTAATAATAGTTCTCATAAAACGGTAATGGTAGGTCTTTGTCCTTATCCCTACTATATTTTTTTTTATCCCTACTATATTTTTTTTTATCCCTACTATATTTTTTATCCCTACTATATTTTTTATCCCTACTATATTTTTTTTTATCCCTACTATATTTTTTTTTAGTTGATCATTATCAGAGTTAGGGTCAAATCGTATTTGTATTTTGTAATAATGGGCTAAATTGGCGTATTTGTATTATATTTAAAAAAATATTAAATATTTGTATTTGTATTTAATTGAAGTATATTCGTAATTCCATCAACTAGGTTGATCAGTGTTTTTTTAGGCAAAATCAAGAGATTTTTTTATGTTTATTTTTAATATTAAAATAAGTTAAAAATTTATTTTTAAGACATATTTGTTAAAAGGCATGTTCTTATGCTGCTATTTACCATTTAATCAATATTGTATTGAAAAAAACTTCTAAACTTAAAATGCATGTATTTGTATTTGGAAAATGCCGATATTTATTTATGTATTTGGATTTGTACTTGGAAATCTGAAATAAATGAATTTTAAAAAAGGCAAAAATATGCATTAAAAGACTAGACCGAGCTGTCAAGCCCAAGTGAAATTAGGAAAAAATTAGGAACAAATAAAGGATAAAAAGATCTCACAAAGATTTCACAAAACCTAGCTACCCTGGGTTGTTCAAGCAGCTTATTGACCGAAGCTTTTTTAACGACAATGTGCATTCCAGCTTCAAAGCAAAAAGTATTTTTCCCTTTTGTCAGGAAAAAAAAACTAATGAAAAATTAGCTATTGGATCATTTTTGTGCAAAGTACTCAAGCCTTACTAACACTGCCTATACCACCGCAATTCCAGAAATTCCTTCAAGTATTCAATAGCATAGAACTTCAAGTACACAAACATCTTCGATCTCATTAAAACAAAGACCTCCTTTAACATGCTGCATAACTGCTTGTGAGCATTTAAAGACATCAATTTTAAATACTTTATGGCCTGCCCAAAGCTTCTGTATTAGGGCCTGTATGTTGGCCTGCCCTTCTGTATGTTGCCCTGCCCAAAGCTTCTGTATTAGGCAAAACTAAATGTTTCTAATAATAACATGCCCCTCATGAAAAGTTACATTATGACTTCCGAAGAAGCTTTGATAGAACTTACGAACAAGCAAATAATGGCACAAAATAGGAAGAATGAAATACAAGCTAGAAAGGTTTTGTATGAAAAAACAAAAAAGGAGGCTAATTCAAAGACTCAAAAGCATTTGGCAAAGGAAGCTGGTTTGTTTAACATACCTTCTATTAAACAAGGGAAACAACAAATAGTGGAGGTAATCAAAATTCTGACTATATCAGAATCCAAAGCGACTTCCATATATCAGCACTGTAAATCTGATGGTTCTTTGAATTCAAAAATATCAAGTTTGTGGCATTTTTTTTTGGAGATGAAATTACAGCTTAACAACAATTATGGGTGCGTTGCGAATCCTGTGACAAGTGGTTGTGTAGATCTTGCTTTTCTACTTTGGTTGACAATATGTGCAAGAATTGCCAATAAACATACAAAGTATATGTAAAGCAAACTAGTATATATTTTTGTTAAAAAATTCTTTTTAACTTAATTGAAAAATATTTTTTTAATTTTATTAACCAGTAGTGTAGCCAACAAGAAGTCCTTGCTGTCTTTTCTGTGATAAGACCATAAGAACTTGTAACACACCTCAAACAAAAAAGTGATAAAGGCCAAAGTAATAAAATAAATGACTAATTATAGTAAAAATAAAAAATAATACTACTTATACTTAAAAAGACCCTTTTTTATGTGCTCTATGTTGCTTTCTTTGGTGCCCCAAATGACTTTTTTTAGTGTCCGGTATGATTCCCTCTTTGGTTACTGGTATTACTTGATATTATATTAACATTAAACAATAAAACAATATCTAAAAATTAGTTTTCATTATTCGTGACGTGATACGTTATTAGGATTTATATAGCAACCAAACTTATGAGATGGTTTTGAAAGTTCAGTCAAAGTAGATGTTCTCATTTGAAATTAGATATTAAGGGCTAGTTTTTATTTTTAATTTTTTTATTTTTACAATTACAATTATCAATATAATTGCCTGTATGTTTCAGGAAATAAGATTGAAAATTTTTTATTTATGCGTGATAAATAAATGTTCAAAGCTTAGGCAATTTTACTATATAAAAATTTTTTTTAATTTATTATTATTATATAATTCATAACAAATTAAAAATAATGATGCAATATAAAAATCAGTTTGTATATGCAGGCCTTGTTTTAAATAAAAAATGCTCAATGCATTAGCCTAATGTGAACTTGACATCATAAAATTCTCTTTATATTATTTATTAAATCATTTTTTTTTTAAAAAAAACATTTACTTAACTTTTCTTAATTAATTTAGACATTAATTTTTTGTTAATTACCGCAAAACAAGTTTATTATTGTTTAACTTGTTTTTATTATTTTTATTTAATTTAGTATTACATTTTAAAAAAATTTTGATATAAACAAATTGTTTTTTTCGACATTTGTATAAATGAATTAAAATATATAAAAAAAATTTTAAATGATTGTTTCTTAAATAATCATTTTAAAAATTTTGCAACTAAAAAAGATTTTTGATTTAAAAAAGTTAGAGTAACAAATAAAAAAATTAAGTTAATTTATCTATTCTATTTATTAAAAGTTTATTATTTTATTAGCGATTTTGTTTTGAAAGCAAAGATAATTTTTCAAACACCATTTGTTAAAAAATTATTGTATATATCATTTATTAAAAAATAATTGCTGCGCTCTACTTGCGTTATAAAATAAGTTTAACATACATTTATTTAATTTTGAGTAAAAAAAATGTTTAGGAAAGAAAACTGAAAAAACAATTGTGATAAAAATAAGCTAATTTTTTTTTAAGAATAAGTAAAATTTAAGTATTGAACAATATTTGTAATATTTTTAAATAAATTTGATAGTTAAGATAAAACCAATCTTTAACTTTAATTTTAATAAATTTATATTACTTTTTTTAATCAGAATTAATATATATATATATATATATATATATATATATATATATATATATATATATATATATATATATATATATATATATATATATATATATATATATATATATATATATATATATATATATATATATATATATATATATATATATATATATATATAAAAGGTTAGATGAGAAAAAACAACTTTTTTACGGTACTTAAAGTTTCATGCCGTTTTCGCCACTCATCAGCCATATATTTCTTTAATAAGTGCCGAAAACGGCATGAAACTTTAAGTACCGTAAAAAAGTTGTTTTTTCTCATCTAACCTTTTATTTATTTATTTATTTATTTATTGATCTATTTTGTGATTATTTCACTTTATATTGATCACTCTCAAATCAAAAAAGAGTTGATTATTATCAAATAATCAAAACAACAATATATATATATATATATATATATATATATATATATATATATATATATATATATATATATATATATATATATATATATATATATTTAAATTGAAATAAAGTCATATATATTTTTTTTATCAGAATAAAATTATATATTTTTATTAAATTAGTTGTGAATTAAATCATATTTTTTTATCAGAATTAAATTACATTATAATGATCTTTGCTTCAAGCTTAAAGTATTAGCGTTTTTCAAGCAAAAAAACTGCAATAATTAATATTAATCACTGCAATAAAGTAAAAAAAATAAATTATAAATTATTTATTACTTAATTTTTTTAATGCAATCAAAAGTTGCATAAATATTCTTGTGCTCTCAAGATGATAAATAAAAGTTTTTATTATATATATTTCTTTTAAGGGTTTTTTTTGTTGTTGTTGTTGTTCCAAATAATAACTTCGCATTAAAAAAAATTTTACTAACTATAAACAATTTTGTTTTCTGTTAGATAATAAACTTAATAAAAATTAAGTTTTTGTAGTTTTTAATAATTTTTAATTAAAATATAGTAACATGTTAAAATATTTTAACATGACTTGTGTTATTTATAAACCGTAGGGCAGCTGCCATTACGGCACCGTTGTTTTTGGATAATATTTTATTTTGATGAAGATCACATAACTTACATTAGATTTTAATACTGTAAGTCTTCTCTTTTTCTGTGATCATCGCATCAGCAAAGTCCCAAGATTTAAAAGTTTTTAAAGTAAATCTTTTGTCCTTCAAAATACAATCCATATTGGAACTTTAAACAATTTAGAGAGAATAGAAATATACAAGGTTTTTATATACTAGTTTGTCTTGCTTTATAAAGAAAAATACATATTCATTAGTAAAAAATACAGACTGTCATTAAACTAAAACGTGCCTTAGTATTTATTTAACGGAATCTGTAATGTGCGCGTGCATAATGAAACCTCCGTTATAAAAATATATTCAACTTAATATTAGTGTCATCAGCAGATGTTATAGTCTACTCGTGATTTCTTTACCTTATAATATAACTTGATTTATGAAAAAAACTTATTGAATCGCACGCAGAAGAAATTTAACAGTCTTCATTTAAAAATTGCGAGTAACAGGTAATTTTTTTTTTCTGTGTCGGCCCCCTTCCCCCACATAACTTAAAGGTAAAGGTATATATAATAAGAAAAGCAAAGAGTAATAATTAATGAAGTAATTTTTAGAAAAATACAAATAGATTGTTCATTTATTGGCACATTTTTTTTAATACCTCGAAAAAATGTTTTGATTTTTTTGTTATCGTGATAACAAAAATATTAAGACATTTTTTGAGATATTAAAAAAAATGTCAATCCTTAATTAAAAATTTTTTTGCAAATGTTTTTTATTATAAATTCAGTAAAAACTCTTAAAAACTATATTACAAAAAACATTTATATTCTGTATTAATAAATATGGAATATAGATTTTTTAAAAGTTTTTTACTGAAAACTTTAAAAAAACTACTACTTTTTATTAAAAACATTAGAAAAAATTTGTAGTTAAGGATTGACGAACAATTTTTCTTGTTGCTAAATATTTGGATAAAAAGTTTAGCGTAAAATTAATTGCTATAAAAAGGTAAGATATATTGCGACGAAAAGTTACAACAATTATTTTTAACGTAAATTCTTTTTTGTAATAAATATCTTTACATGTCGTTTAAAAGTTAACGTGGTTTTTTTAAAAATTAATTACTTCTTTTATGTTACCGCTAATTTAAAAGTTAAAAAATGATAAAAAGTAGCTTAACCAAAACAGCTCTACGCGTACGTAAAAATCGCTTAAGGCGTACGTAAATTGCTCTAGGCGTAACGCTTTAAAACAAGGCCTGATGTTAAATATATTTTTTCTTATTTTTAACCTCTTTTTTTTTTTTTTTTTTTTTTTTTTTCATATTTACTCTCAACAAGGCTACAAGCAACCGCTGTTAAGTTGTGAGTTACTAGGAAAAAATACTAGGAATAGAGTTATAGAGCAAGGAAACATTTAACAGAAGAGTTGAAAAGTTGTAGGTTGTCGGAAAAGATGAAGATGGGAGAGAGTTTTTTCCTCCGCACTCCAATGGGTTGGAGTGCGGAGGAAAAAACTAGATGAGTAAAATTTTTTAGAGAATGCAGGGACAGATACAGTAAACCAATGAGACTTTGCTGAATGACAAGTCAAGCAAGAATTTGTTTTCGTTGATGGAACTAGAAATATAGCTCCTTTGAGCAGTGGCCATGATAGTGTTTGTAGTAAAAAGAAAGAGATGCAACTTTATGATGATGGGAAAGAGGCTCAAGCTTAGCAGATAAAGCGGGTCCAACTATGTTTACAATGTGTTTTTGGACCTTGTCTACAAGACTAAGAGCATCATTAAAAGAACCAGCCCAAATATGACAGTATTTCATACTTTTTTTTGTTGTTGTTGATGTTAATTCACCTCCCCTAAGCCCAGAAGGCCACAACATCTAAAGAGACTACTTAATTGTGGTTATAACCCTCTCTCAACTCTATAACTTCAAAACATGAACCTTGACGAACAAGGCCGCTGTGTGGAGAAACAAGTTTAGCGGGGTACTAACAGGGATGCGGTAGGGGTCAAACTCGGAACCTCTTGCTTATGAAGCGAGCACTCACCATTACCGCTTCAGACTTGTAGAATTAGAAAATTGAATCAGGGGTAAGAAAATGGTGGGCACAATAAAGAGAAGCAACCTTAGCAGATGCTAATTTAGCAATCAGTTTTATATATGGTTTCCATGAAAAGTCACTCGTAAACAATATTCCAAGAAGTCGTAAAGAAGAGGACTCAGTGAGAGGGTTGCCATTTATAAAAATAGGAATGTTGGCAATATTGCAATAGTTGTTTGCGGTAAGTAACTGAGTTTTTTTGGAGATAATATTTACTAGCCATTGCGAGCCCAAATCTGTTACAAAAGTGTGATTAGATTCAAGATCAGCTGCTTGTTCTAAACGATCAAGAAGAGAAGACTTTTTTTCAAGATAGGAGTATAAAGTTGAGTCATCAGCAAAAAGAGCTACTTTAGATGTAAGGTTGTCAGGAAGATCATTAATGTAGATAAGAAACAAAACAGGACTAAGAATAGAACCGTCAGGTACACCAGAAGTTACTGGAAATGAAGAAGAGTGTTGGTTTTCAAGGATGAATTTAATAAAGTTGTTAGAAAGAAACAATTTGGTAATCTCAAAAACTTTTTCAAATACACCAAGCTTATGGAGAAGGTCAGCATGCCAAACTCTGTCGAAAGCTTTAGATATGTTAAAAGCAATATTCTTCGCAAACTTCTCCACTCCATCTAATGCAGGATAAAATTATTCATTCACAGCAGTTAGCAGGTCAGCCATAGTGCGAAAGAATCAAAAATCGTATTGGTTGTCTGACAGTAAGTTATTTGACTCAAGTTGGGATGTGAGAAATCTGTTGATCAAAGAATCAAAGACATTGCTAATAACAGAAAGAAGATTGATTGGACGATAGTTGGAGGGGTCAGAATAATCTCTGGAGTTTTTGAAAATTGGAATAACAAATGCCATTATAACTTCTTTTAATGTTAAATATATTTTTCTTATTTTTAATCTTTTTATTTTATTTTAATAGTATTCCTTCTTTTAATGTTAAACATATTTTTTTCTTTTTTTTTTTTTAATAGTATTACTTCTCTTAATGTTAAATATATTTTTTCTTATTTTTAATATTTTTTATTATTGTTTCTATTATAATTATCAATGTCATTAAAATTATTGTTTTTAATTTTATCATTATTATTTTTATTTTCTTGTTTACAATTTAAATAATTTTTTTATGCCATTATTAGTTGTTACCTTTTATTAGTTTTTAACTGTTTTACTGTCTAACTTTGTATATTACAGCTATTATGTTTGTAAAAACAAGTGGCTTATTATTAATTTTATTATTATCATTATTATTAGTAGTATTTTTTTTTACTGTTAATATTGTGATTCTTATGTTTATTAAAAATATGTTTATTGTGATTCTTATATTTATTAAAAATACTATTTTTAAAATATTATTTTTATTATTATAACTATTATTATTTTAGTCATTAGGTGTTTACTTAATTTTAGTAATTTTACTATTTTTAAACAACCTTGAAATGTAACCACTAACTATTTCAGAAATATATTAAATGATTAACTGTGTACCCAAAAATTAATACTTTTTTTTTTAAATATATTTTTCTTTGATTTTAATAGGTTCGATTACAATTGTGGGATACTGCTGGTCAAGAAAGGTTTCGCAGTTTGATACCAAGTTATATTCGTGATTCATCAGTTGCAGTTGTTGTTTATGATATAACAAGTAAAACTTACTTATGGTTTCACAGCATTTAAAAACTTTACATTCATTTTATGAAATTTATTTTAACTTTTAGATGTAAATTCATTTCAACAAACAAGTAAATGGATAGATGATGTTAGAGTTGAAAGAGGTAGTGATGTCATTATTATGTTAGTTGGTAACAAGACAGATTTAGCTGAGAAAAGGTAACATATTTTCAATAAATTATTTTCATTAATAAAGTGCGTTTTTATTTAATGCTAGTTATGCTATTATAATGTTTGACATTAATTATGCTACTAGCTGATCTGACCCGTAAAAATACAGATTTTTATAAGTCTATTCCACACTGAACTTTTCTATACTTTTTCCTTATATATATATCCTAACTTTCCGGACCCATAAAATACAGGTTTTTACCAAATCTACCATTTCTATTCCACACCGATTATTTTTATACCTACTATTTGTTAGCTTCAATATTTTTACATAAAATAATTTATTTTAAAAAATTGCTTTATGAGCAAAAAATTTAACACCCTTTCAGCATACCTAGAGCTTATAAGAGATTTATAATAAGGTTTGTTTTTCTCCTAAACGCATATCATTGATAGCTCAGTGGTTTAGTGCGCTGTCACCAGTGTCGTTTTTGGGGATTAAAGACATCCCCTTATAAATTTTGAAAAAATGTTCCTGTATTTATAGCAAAAAAGGGGAGGGATTTTTTAATGTTTTAGATATAACACTTTCACATATATGAGGTTTTTACAAATCTTCAAATTAAAGTATATTTCTGGTAATGTCAAATAAAAAAGTTTTTCAAAAATTTGTAGGTTAATCTGGGAACAAAAATATCCTAAAAGATATCCGCTATCCTACCCCAAACATAAGGCAATAAGTTAAGATGATATATAATTTACTATTTTACACTAAATTTAAATTTATCCACAGTTTAAATTTTCATTTATTAATCTTTTGGTGTTCTAAAGTTATATAAAGACAAAGTAAAACTTACAAACCTCTATATTAATTATACTTTTGGTTTCACAAATTTTTAAATTTTATGTTTTAAAATATAATTTTATATTTAATTTATGTCAGACTTTTTATTACAACAATCTAAAGAGTTGATTATCTTTTATGAATACATTTGCCTTTTATATATATATATATATATATATATATATATATATATATATATATATATATATATATATATATATATATATATATATATATATATATATATATATTTATATATATATACATATATATATATATATATATATATATATATATATATATATATATATATATATATATATATATATATATATATATATATATATATATATATATATATATATATATATATATATATATATATATATATATATATATATATATATGTATATATATATATATATATATATATATCTGTGTTTGTGCTTGAAAATGCTTCTTATTGGTAAGGTAAGAAGGTAAGTATAAAAAATATGATGTCCCAAGCTTGGACAAGAATAGGGTGCAATTGCACCCTGTAACTGACACACTTATAATTTTTTTTCTTTACAGTTTAACCAAAATATAAAATTAATTCTAATGATTGTTTAAAATAAACGCATTTTTATTGACTTTTTTTGTTTGTCTGTTTAAAAAGAACTGTTAAAATTTTTTTCTTTAAACAATTTACTAATTAGAAAATGAAATGATTAAAAATTACTACAAGACTATGTTATTTAAAAAAATATATATTTTTTCTTTTCAATAATATAAATGAAATTTGTTCATTTATTAAACAATCGTTAAAAGTAATTTGTAAAAATGTTTCATATATCTTTAATAAAACGTTTCTAGAGATAGTTTATAAAGTAATTTATTTAAAACCTAATTAAAGACATAACAAAAACTCGAGTTTGAGTTTTTAAGTTTTATTTTAAGCCTATATATTTTATTTTTCAAAAGGAATTGTTTTTTTTTTCTTTAGTTTTTTTTTGTGTTTTTTTTTTGTGTTTTTTTTTTCCTAGTTTATGTTTAGCTTAGCATTTCTTTTTTCAGTGCATTTCTGAAATGTTTAAATCATCAAAATAAAATCATCAATAAAAATTTTAGATCATCAATCTAAACAGTTATGTTCAAGTTGTCAACAAAAAAAAATTGTTTGTGTGGTCAGCAATGGCGTTCCATTGCATACCATTCTTGTCCAAGCCTGGCGTCTAGAATTGCATTTTTATGTATGACCATCATACGTCAGTTTTTAGGTCCACATTTGTTTTATTAAATTTCAATTGACTCTTTAACTTTTCATTCAAAATTTTTGATTCTATTTTTAATGTTTTTACCTGCTCTCATTTTATATTGCATGGACATTTTTATGATGTCTAATTACAGATAAGTCCTATTTTTCATCTAATACATATTTTTGGTGTCATTTTGTTTTTGTTGCTATTTGATAGTAGTTTTTTTGCGTGAGGTTAGCAAATATTTAAGATTTGTGCTAGATTTAAAAGCTTTCTTGTAACTTGCTTTCCTAAAGATTTTTTGAAGTTTTGGTGATAATAATGGGATCCATGGTAATGATATAGTTGGCATGGTTGCTTCATTGTTAGATGAGACTTTTTCATTATTTGAGTGTTATTTTTTGGATGGTATTATCTTTGTTGGTAAACCGTGCGTGGCTATCATCTACGTACCTCAAAAACAACTTTATTTCTAGTGGTGGATTAGAATGAAGCGTCAATAGTTTTATTTTTGAAAAATTGCAGGAAACCTTATAAACATAGTTTGATGTATTTTCAATTCAATATTATTTAAACAATGTATTTGTCATCTTTTACTTATTTTAATGCTTGTATTTATATCAATGTTTTTGTCCTCTTTTATTTGTTTCAATGCTTGTGTTTGGTTATGATTAAAGTCGCTATTTTTTTGATTTAAAAAAATTAATTTAAATCATAGTCGCCAAAATAATGAAATTTTAATCAAATTACTGAAAATAGAATCTAAAAATTATGGAAGAAAAGTCAAGAATTATTAGAAATTCAATATAATGCTGACCTTAAAGCAGAGGTATGTATTTAGACGATGGTTATTACATAAAAACATATTTCTAGGCACCATATTTTTTATACTTACGTTACTAAAAAGAAGTTCATTTAACAAACTTAAATTCATATTAAAAGAATTAACAAATTAATTCATATTACTGCTTGTTTGTAGTTAAATATAATTAATTTGTGCAGCGGCCTTGTTTGTCAAGGTTCATGTTTCAGAGTTATAAAGTTGAGAGAGGGTTATAACCCTAGCCTCCTCATATCTAGTGGCCTTCTCGGTTTCGGGGAAATGAATAACGAAGAAAAAAAAAATTAAACAAAACAGCTTTAGCATTTCCAATATTCAATAACTATTCAGTATTCTGTCTGTTCTGTTACTTTTTTTTACTATTTGGTATTAGGTGGATTATTGCTAACTATTTAGTTTGTGCATAAAAAAGGATAGCATATAATTTTTTATTTTGTTTTAACAAATAAATAGTATATTTAATATATAGACTTCAAATCTATAGCTGGTAAGTTATGATAAAAACATTTTCATCATTTGATGTCAACTAATGATTGTTAGTTGAATAACAGTTAGTTGAATGGTTTGCTATCCAATTAAAACTGTTTGCTTTAATTGGATACCAAACCATTACAAGTGGTGGTCAGCAAACACAAAACATTATCATAACAGAACATGCTAAAACTTCCTTAATATTTGCTGGTGGCAGTGTACATAGTGAATGCCTAAAATAGGCATTCATTTTCTTCACCACAAGAAAAGAATCTTATAAAGATTCTTTTGATAGTTTTCATTTGCATTTCTTTTTCTTACAAAGTGGATATGAATCATAGCCGGTGCTAATAGGCACCGGTGATGGTTCATTGTTGTCAAGCAGCCTTTCACTGAGAAGGATTGTCCTTTCACTGACCTAACTTTTCACTAAGAAAGTTTGGGATGTCTGTCACACATCACAATCTTTTTCAGAGCATTAATTTTTTTTTGCTCGTTTTGTTTCTACTAATCTCACGTGCATCAATAAAAAAATACAATAGGCATTTAATATAAATGTCATTCCCATTAAAGTTAAATCGTGCTTTAAGTTCACACACACACACACACACACACACACACACACACACACACACACACACACACACACACACACACACATCGTGAAAACAGCTGGTCAACGACCCCCCGAAATGACTAAAATTACTATTTTGACCTCCCAAAATGAATTCTTGCCAGTCATGGTTGACCAGTTAAAAAAAATTAGAGTTATAAAAATGTATCACAAATAATCAGGATGTTATTTGGAAGAAACTATACACTAAAATTTCATACAATAATCAAATTTTAAAGAAGCGTTTAAAATAGTTTTATTATTTGTAATATGTTTTGTTGACGAATATTATGTGGCTGTTTCTATTAATTTTTTTTTGATTCACTAATTTAGATTTATTTTACTGGTAGTGAAAATCTTTTTGTTTATAAATATAAAGTTTATTTTTTATTAACATTTTAAAAATATTTAATACATTATTTTGATAATAATATATAATTGCTGTTTTTCATAATAATATGTAATAATTGCTTTTATTTTTTCATGATAATGTATAATAATTGCTGTTATTTTAATAATAGTATATCTGGGATGGCCAAATAGCAGCTCGCGAGCTGTATGCGGCTCTTAGAATCTTAGATTGCAACTCTTTATAAAAGTTTTATTGTTTTACTTATACAACCCTCGAAATTAGGGTCGGCAATTCGGCCGACCCTAATTCCGAAAAAATTGCCGACCTCGTTTCTATGTTTTATGGTCAGACCTTTGTATCAAATAATTTCTGCCGACGTGATGCCAACCTCAAAAAGATTGAGGTCGGCAAATTATTACCGACCTCATTTTTCCTAATTTCAAGGGTTGCTAATAATCAATTATAACTTAAATTATACATAGTCTAAAGACATATTGTTTCAAAAATGGATATAGCAAAAGGCGACAATAATTCACTTCACAATAAAAGTAAGAAAAGAAAAATTGAAGATGAGAACAGATTGTTTCATGATGATTGGACTGAAAAATATGCATTTATTGAAAATAAACCTATATTTAATTTCCAATACTGAACTTGCTCATGATAAGACAAGTAATGCTAAATGCAAT